TCTCTCTTCCTTCCTTTTGTTCTCTTCTCTCTCTCTCTCTCTCTCTCTCTCTCTCTCTACGCATCGCGTTTATTCGTGCAATTTTCCAGGACCCATAATTTCGACGAGGAACACACGCACGTAACGCGACTTCGTTTTTCACGATCCTCTCTCGCCTCTCGTTTCAATTCTCGCCCACACCGTATTTCCCTTCCTTCCTTTCCTTCCTCCCTTTTTTCTTTTCACGAAATATTCATCCATTCGCGCTATTTTTCCGATTTCCTCCTCCCTTTTTTTTCCTTCGCCGATTTGTAATAATATCGGGCATTGTGAAAGGGCTGATCGATCGTATTCACATCCCCTAACGGGCTAATGCTTGGAAACTATGGATCCACGGTTTTCGAAATATAATCCAAGAATATAATCTTGTCGCTGCTCGGTCGTTAACCGATTTACGCGACTTTACCCTCCCCTCTCTCCTCTCCTTTTTGTCCTCTTTTCCCGATTCGATGAAAAATCTCGCGGATCTCGTCTAATTGATACGCGCTGTAAATGAATTTTACAATTTTCGGGGAGGAGGGATGATTTGAATTTTAACACGTTCCGGGAATAATTTTAAATTTCTTTTCTCTTCTCTTTCGTGATTATTTTCGTGAAGAGAGTTAGAAGAAATATGGAAAATGAATTTTGAGATTGTAAAATTCGAATTTTTCGCGAGGGCGTTGAATAGGAGAATCGTGTTGCTGAAAGAATTGCCGAAAGATGCAGGAAGATTCGGTGATACGACGATCGATTTGAGAATAAGATTAAAGGGTTGGCTATCGATGGAGGAGGATCGTAACGCATCGAGATCGGCTTTATTCAAGGTTCGAAACGGGACTTCTTCTGGTAATCCTGGCGGGAGAAAAATGAAGTTACCTTTCTCACCACGTTTTTCTTCGCGAAAACTGATGGAATTAAAGGAGGAGGAATTTCGCGTTCTCGTTCACCTTTCCGCGATTGCTTCTTTCGGGGAATAAGTTCAGATATATGTCGGATACGTGGAATTATTGTGAAAAAATTATAATTTTTAAAAATTGCACAACAATATCGAGCGATCAATAAATATCGAATTGGTAATAAATTATATAATGATTCCTAGCAAGATTGCAAATATTTATGCAAATTTAGAAATTTTTATGAACAGAAATGGAAACATGCTTCGAAAGGGTTATACATTCGAAATAATAATAACGATAAATATTGTAAAATTTTACAATCCACTGCTAATATATATATTACATTTTAGAATTTCTTTTTTTTTCGTATATTTTAAATGAAATTAATATATTCAAAAATTAAAAGTTACCCTTCGGCGTAATGGAAATAATTGTAGCACAGCTTCATGCCCATCAGATTGTGAAAGAACACGTAGAGGCCGTACAACGTCAACGTGTAGAACACCAGCTCGAACAGGTTCGTCTCTTGCAATTGCAATTTCGTGGTGATCGCGAGCGAGGCGAACAGTCCCATTAGAAAGAGAGCGAGACCGATAAGGAGGCTCGCCAGGATCGCGAACACGACGTAACGATGAAGACGTTTCCTCTGATTCCTCGTGAATCTTACGTCGAACACCGCCATTTTTTCCCCCATCGCATCAGAGACCTCTGGTGGACAGAAATCGAACTAAATTCACTTTATTCGTACAGCTTACTCTTTTTTTTTTTGTAGAAATTTTCAACAATTTTTTACAAATTTATTTGAACGAATCAAATATACTTTTAGGATAAAAATATAAACGGAATTATTGGCACTCTCGTGAATATTAATTGTTATAAAGAAACGAATCGTGCAATAATTGAAATAAGAGGTGAATTAAAGGGTTCGGTGTCGCGGTAATTCGTTTGTCGTAATTCGTTTAGAATTCTGGCACTCGCTTTGGGGCCAGTTTGTTCCCGGTTAAGGATCCGGAATTTCCTCATTCCCACGACGGAAACTGTACCCGTCGAGGTATTTCTATGGTATCCAGGGAGCCTCGTTGAATCCCACTCTCTACAGGGTGGCGAATAAACGCGCTCGACACCGCCTTCTTATTTAATTTATTCTCTCCTTTCCTCGAAATTCCGATATTTCGATCGGTGCTGTCATCTGTCGATGAAATTTAGAGATATCGTACTTTGAAATTCCATCTCACGCCAAATTGTTACTTTAGACGCAATTTTATTAAAGCCTTTGCTTACAAGTATATTCATTTGTACATAAATAACGAAATATAACTAATTCGATATCAATTATTTAAACAATATCACAAATCGTGTAATTGCACTCGATGTACAAGCACACCATTTTCCAACCTATTTAAAATTATTCAAACTAAAAAATTTTCAATCTTCCATCGTTCCACACACCCCCGAAATTAGCGTCACGAGTTTCTCTTCGTGCAACGAGAGAAAAAAAAAAATATCCAGCGGCTCGAGTCGAAAGGAGTCATGGACAGCTCCCTCCTCTCCAACGCTCCTCCCCCTTCTCTCCAAGGGGCGAAAATCGTTTAAAACGCGGCGAAAGTTTTTTAATTCCGCGAGAGGATCGTGCCTCTCGCCTGGTTTTTTTCATTAACAAAAACTACGAAAAAAATCGCGATAGCCGGAATTACTTCCGGGTCACCCGTTACGTTGAAAACGCACCGGCCAACGGTTGCGCAAGAGAGGGGGAAAGGCATTCGACGCCGGGCTCAAGGCAACTTGGAAAACCCGTGTACGGCTTCTCCCCCACCTTTTTTGTTCCTACCAAAACAGAGTCGTCTCGTACGCAAATTTCTCTCCAGCCTTTTCCCACCACCGCCTCGAATGAATATTAATTCGTTCCATCCACCGATAAAAATCTCGCGAATTCGCGAAAATTCGGCCATTGCAAAGGCGGCGATTTTTTCCTTTTAATTCCCCCCCCCCCCTCGCTGTGTTTCCCGGGACACGACGTTTTAATTAATTTTCACGCGGAAAGAGGGGTAGGGGTGGGGGGGGGGGATGGATATTTCGAATTTTTGGCGATTGCATAATTTTGTTCGTCTCCTTTCCTTCTGGAATTTCTTTTCGCAAAAACGATTCGCAAAAATTAAAACTAAGATTCGCGTCTCCCTCGCAACTTTGATTTTTCTTCGACTCGAATGGAAATTCTTTCTGCTGAATGAACCGCGATACAAAAGGCCTCGTAACCGCGTTAAATTCAATGACAACGTATAGCGCCTCGTGGAATAATCAATTCCACGCAGGATCATTAATTAAGTTGGAAAAGTGGAACGATTTAACGGTAGGGCAAAGCTCGACTATGTACAGGGTGTGTGAATAATCTATCGCATTGGTATAAAAAAAAAAAATTCTCGAAATGAATTTCAAAGTCGATTCGAAAATTATATCGTAATAAGAAACGAGCAGTCGAAACATTTAAACATTTCTTATTCTCGTTCATCTTCGTTTTCCATTAATTATCTATAGAGTTGATAGGTTGTGACCATCCACGAAATGATTCACGAACGTCATGCGCGCGATAATCAAACCGTTAACTTCGTCTACAAAATCGCTGATCGATCAATTATACAATTTATTCGTTCGATCGAGCGTGAAACGAAATCCATCCTCCTCGTATCCATCCACGAATCCGTTAAAATTAATATTCAATCTGCATATAACTGATTGTGTCACCTCGCTCTCCCCTCGTCTCGATTGTTGTCACGCGAATAATAATCTTTCCCGTTTTCTTCTTGCCGAATTTATCGAACAAACGGTACAATTATTCCAAATTAGATCGATCGTTACGTTTGTATTTCTCTATTCTCGATTGAGACGAATAATAAACGATAATAACAAACGATCGTTGGATAAAGTGACGTTTGGTTTTTCGATCGACAAATTTTCTCCTCGAATAATAATTACCGTGCAACTGTGCAATAATCTCGGCAATAAACGTTATATTTGCTTCGATACAACCAATTATTTTCATTAAAATTAATAACAATAACGAACAACGTGTATGTACCCTCATTAAGCGACAAATAAATCGAACGATTGAATTAATTGTTATATTATTAAATGTGAATTTCGTAACTTTTAAAAAACAATATCTCGATAAACAATTTTCAACTCGAAAAAGTTTCAACCACCGGAATGAAAACGTTTCATTATGCAATTTCGTCGAACAGGCCCACTGATTTCCGAAATCCGCGGCAAATCATCGACCCATTGCGCCTAAACTCTCCCTCTCTCTCTCTCTCTCTGTGCGGATTCAGCAACGCCCTTGAGAGGATCCATCATGACTGGCAAAGGCCGATTCAGCGAGCTTCTCATCCAATTCCCCAGTTTCATGGATCTCCATTATGCGGTTTCAGTTTTATGACCGAGATTCTCCGCGCTGAATCTAATCTCGTTAGAGTATTTAAGCTCTTGCTTAATGTTCAAGATGTTGAGACGATTAATTTGCGCGACACGAGATAATTTGGGGAAAGTATCTCCTCCAAAAAGAACGTATATGTGTAAATGAAAATAAAATTAAAAATATTAAACCATTATTCACAAATAAAGATGATCGAAAGGAGAAAGAAAAAATAACATCCATCTTTCAATTTTTCCTTTCTCAAAGACTCGAAAAGTGGATGATGGAACGCGATCGATTAAACTTTCATCCTTTGAATTTTCATTCTCCGTCGGTACAGTAGAGAGAGAGAGAGAGAGAGAGGAGGAGGAGGACAACAACAAC